CACTTTTACTGACTGATTATGATTTTATTAGATTACTAGCTGACCCAGCGAACTTCGTACCGCCCTAAAAAAATAGGGTTTGTCCAGCGGACAAAATTGTGAATCTAAACCATTCTCAGATCCCCTTGAACACACACAAAAAATTTCATCAAAATCGGTCCAGTCGTTTAAGAGAAGTTCAGTGACATACACACTCACAGAAGAATTATATATATAAAGATGTTAATTACAACTACCATTGTGTTCATTGAGGTATTCTTAATTATATTTGTTTTCGATAAAAGGTTTTTAAGATTTTGTTAAGAAGTGTATGTTGATTCTATGATCAAAGTAAATTTTTTTTATTTGTTTAGTTCAGATATTTATCTGTTGCCCTAGAAATTGATCTCAAAATAAATCTTGTTTAAAATTTAATTCTTTCATTTGATACTACCCTCGATTGGATATGGATTAATTAGGTTCCTTCTATTTTCATGTTACTACAGTAAATGAAAGAAGAAGGAACCTACTTAATTAACCTTTGCTGGAGTATGAGTACATGTACCTAGCTAGATAAATTTTTTATGCTGTGTACTATTATTTAGTTTAAACTTTTTTTTATCAGAATTTGTATAATCATTATCAACCCACTTAAACTCTTAGATAAGATTCATTTTTCTTCACCAAATTATGTGGACGATAATCGGTATACTGGTGGTCGATAACCGAGTGTAATGGTCGTTAACCGGTAGTTTGGATAATTTTACATTAATTATTTATTTATAAATTATTAATTGAAGATGTGTTTCTAGTCGTTATATTTTATGAAACTAGACTACTGTAGGTTGATAATGTCATATTTTGCAAAATTAATGGTCTCAGCATCTTCAAAAAATTCATATATGAACATAAGAAGTCGCTAAAAAGGCCGGAAACCGGTATGTTTACCCTACACCAGTGGTTCTCAAACTTTTTAAATGACGGAACCCTTTTGGGAAGCAAAATACTTGATGGAACCCTACAATAAAACAATTATTTTTATAAGTGTATTCTATATTAATCAGCATAATAAAAGTACAATGTATCCGTTACTAATTATTATTTACTTCACCACTTGGTAAGGACAATAATAGAAAACATTAAAAAAGAAAAAATCTAACTAGTGGGAGGTATGAAACTGTTTTTTATTTTTCATCAATTGCTTGATATCAGGTTTGATGGAAGAAAGTTGGAGTCTCATATCAGCTTCGGCGTCCAGTCTATTGCGATATTTTGTTTTCGTGGCTGCGTAGGTAGAGAATCCTGTTTCGCACAAATATGTAGTTGGGAACGGGAGAAGAATATCCAGAGCCATTTGGCCAAGCATTGCATATTCATCTTGGATTCTGCACCAAAAATCATTAAGAGGCGTCGTTTTGAACAATGACTCCATACTTGTGTCTGATGACATTTCTAAAAGAGATTCATATATCTCATTTGACATGTTTTCAGGCTTTTCCAAGTTGGGTAAAAAAGGATTATGAATCCAGGAGTTCACTTTAATTTTTGTATTGTGTTCTTCGGGAAAATACTTTTCAAAAGATGCGCGCATCGAACTGAGATATTGGACCAATTCTTCAAACACATTATCTTCAAACATTTCTGAGTCGTTTTCGCTAACAAACTCAGTGAGTAACGTAAAACTTTCTATTTCTTTCTTACCAATGCAAATGATCCAAAAATCTAATTTTCTTTTAAAAGTAGTTATTTTATTATAGGCCTGAAACACTGTTGTCTGTTTACCTTGCAATGATAAATTTAATTCGTTAAGTTTTTGAAAGATATCCGCCATAAAAGACAATCGGAACAACCGAGTTTTATCATACAAACGGTCCTTCAAATTAAAAGAAGTATCTGCTGAAAGAAACATTTGTAACTCGGCTCTAAGTTCAAATAGCCTTGTTAAAGTTTTTCCCCGAGACAGCCATCGCACTTCTGTATGGAGCAGCAGTGTTTTATGTTTGCTGCCATAATCTTCACACAATAATGAGAACAATCGGGATTGTAGTGGTCGTGATTTGATAAAATTAATTATTTTTACCGCTTCATCCATAACTAATTTTAGATTAGACGGCATTTGCTTCATCGCAAGTGCTTGTCTATGCAGAATACAATGACTGGAACTACAATTAGGCGCTTTATTTTTCATTCGTGACACTGCTCCTGCTGTTTTACCTGTCATCGCCTTGGCCCCATCTGTACAAATGTCAATGCAATTGTTCCAACTGAGATTATGTTCTTCAAAAAATATATTTATTTTATTAAAAATTTCTTCCCCGGTAGTGTTTGTAAGCAGCGATGAACACATAAGCATGTCTTCTTCAAAAGAACTTTTATATGGATATCTCACAATAACCAGCAGGATAGCCAAACCAGCGACATCAGTCGACTCGTCCATTTGCAAAGCGAATCGTGTATTTTGTAGACGTGTAACTAGTTCTTGTTTGACGTAGCTTGCCAGATCATGGATTCGTCGTGAAACAGTATCGTTTGATAGCGGAACAGTAGAAAGATGCTTTGCAGATTTTTCATCAAGCATACATTTTGTTATGTCTAATACACATGGTTTTATTAATTTCTCAGCGATAGTGTGCCCTTCACCTGCTTGTGCAATGCGATAGCTAACTAAGTATGATGCCTCCGTGGCCTTTTCGTTGGTAGTTTGTGTTACATGCATCATATTTTTTGACTTTCTAATAACTGATCTTTTTTGCGAACAAAAAATTCTTTATTCTTGTCTTTAGTCTCGGGGTGTACGGTTTCTAAATGTCGACGCAATTTGGCAGGTGCCATGGAACTATTAGGAAGCAGTTTACTACAGAGCATGCAGAGAGGTGAGCCGTTGGAATCAACAAATCCGAAACTGATATAAGATTCATCATACTTCCTTTTTTTCGTCTTTGAAACCGTCGAGCTTGACGTCGTGGCACTCGTGGCATCATCTTCTGGATCGGTGATTGCTAAATTCTCCGCGCGCATTGCTTTTGAACATTCAGCGTCATTAGAAGATGTTGTTGGAACACGTTTAACACCTTTAAGCCAACGTTCCATTCTTCTTTATTTATAATGTTACAAGTCAGGATAGTGGGGTTTAAATAATGCACAATCGTTACTGCGTATAAGAGACTAAATTTAGAACCTACAGGGAAGAAATGTATAAAACTGAGACAACAGAATACAGCAGGCAGTAAAACAATGAACACCAGTTTCTCGCTAGCGAGCTTGTAAGTAGGTAGTAACTTATCGCTCCGAACGCTAATCATCAACTGACGACGCCAACGCGCGATCGCCGCTTTTATACTTAGTCCTAGACTCGATCTCAAATATTCTCGAAAATACTCGAGTCGGCACCTTTGATAAACAAAAAGCAAAAATAAAAACAGAAATTTAAAAATAGCGTTGTAAACAATATCGACTTTATCCTTTGAAGTTAGAGACGAAAGTCGCTAGTTGACAACTATAGCGTCTAATTCAGAGGCGGCTTTTATCAAAGAGACTGAGCGCTTACAAGTATACCTACCCGCTCGTTTTAAGTTTGCCGCTGGCGATAGGTATGAGTGTATGACGTTCGAAATTTTTTATTTAATTGTAACAATAAAAATTGTGTACGTTAGATATTTGGGTAAAACTATGACACATTATAAGTTTTGTTGTCACGTGGGGGAGGGTACGCGCATTCCACAGACCGGCAAACTTAGAGCGAACGCGTTGTACAAGTATAAAATTGTTGAGACCAAACTTATGAGATATTGTACCAGCTAATGTAACACAAGCTTATACAAATACAAATAAATAAATAAATAACATTCATAGCGTTTTGTCTCCGCGCGGCCGCGGAGTCCGCACAGCCGCGGAGCGACCAGAGAGAGGTGTTTTGATTTTTTTATTTCTAAATTCTTGCGGAACCCCGACAGAGGTATCACGGAACCCTAGGGTTCCGCGGAACACACTTAGAGTATAGCTGCCCTACACCCATGCTTTAAAACCTTGATGAAAGATTCTGAAACAGCTTTGTACTAACATTAAAGTCATAATTTAAAAAAAAACCATTATAACACACAAACAGGTGTTATAATGCTGTACAAAATTTCATAATAACACTCCATCACTTTTTAGTTCCGCGCTAAGGGCTTACTGATCAGACAGCCACAATTTTTACATCTTGATGTGTGGTATGGTATTATAAATTTCATAAAAAGTACATTGTCATTTACGTCTCTGTGTGAAGGTATACAGCCTTATTACATGGTTACCTAGCAACAGGTTGTTGATAAAGGGATGTCAGTGTGCAATATTAATTAATGTAAAAATATAAAAGAAAAATTTGTTAGTTCTCTAAATATATATTTACTGAAGTCTGGTCATCTTTCAATGTTATTACTTTATAGTTTCACTACAAAGGACTGAAACTTTCGATGAATTTAAAGTTCTTAGAATGCTCCTTGGTTTCAGAATCGTTTATAGAGGATTTATATCATGGGTGTAGATAAAGGTTTGTATGCAACTGTTCCTAATTAGATATTAAAACACTCATGTGATACTATTATCACACTCAGCTTCACCTTGTGTGACATTCGTGTTTTGTTACCCCTCATTTTACAACAGTTGCATAAATATCTATTAATAACATCTGGAAAACTTTTCCATGATAGTCTGGCAGTTAAGTTTCATAACTGGTTCCGATAAAGGAATTATTCTTCCTTGTATGTATACGGCCGAAGGGTTCCATGTCATTAAACAACTTAAGAGTAAGTAAAAATCAAATAATTCCCTACAAAACTTTACCAGTGAGGATAAACTTTTTTGGTATGGATAGATGGAACAAAGGGATTGTACTTTAGTTACTTGAACGAGAAGTACTATTGTAATTTGGGTAAAACTATTATTTTCTCATCCCATTGCTTTTTTTTCTCTATGATTTTAGGAGATATGGACATATTTGCTGTATAAAGTAATAAGAACTATAGGAATTCTGTACAAACCTGCATAGTGTTTTATATCTTTGCACCATTCCTTATGGGAAGAAACAGTATCACAAGATAGTCCTATAACTTTAACATTGCGTTTGTTAAACTCTGGCAGTAGATTCAAAATACGGGCCAACTCTGTGGTGCAGACAGGCGTAAAATCGGAAGGATGAGAAAAAAGTATTGCCCATCTGGAATAAAATTCAATTTCTGTATATAATAATAATAAAGTGAAACTAAACGTGACTCTATTGAACTCTGTACTATTCATAAAATAAGAGAAGTTCGTGAGAGTGAATATTAATAGTGTAAATGAAAGTCCTCTTACGATTTTCCGACCCATTCGTGAAAGTTGATTTCACCTTCCGTGGTATTTGCAGTAAAATCAGGGAATTCTTCACCTAACAGCGGCATTTTAGGTTTTCTGAATTATACTACAAAAACAAACAATTATTTCCTTGAAAATATAATTTAACGGTGTATTTTTATACCTTTAGCAAGACACAAAGAAAAAAATCTAGCCAAGTAGAGTAATGATGAATTTCTTTTGTTTTCTACTATGATTTTTCCTGACAGACAGAACGAAGGGAAGCCAAAGCAAACCAGAAAAAAAAGAAAACAAAATTTAAACCAAGTGCGAGGTGGATTTACGAAGTCGGTGAAATTTGGAACTACCGCCGCCATCTTTGTTAAATGTCATATTTTGTATTGCCAGTTCTTTTCAGAGGTCTCCCCATTTGGAAGTGATGATGGTTAGGGGTAAGCAATTAAAACACAAAGCAGACGGTTCGTATGGTGGTCAGACTTTTTGACAAATAATTACATTTATTTTAGCCCCGGCAAATAGCAAGTTAATTTATCTAGGTACTGTTTGTTGCCAAAGCATCAAATATATTATATTCACTAGTAAAGCTGTCATAATTTGTACTGTTCATCTCTGATTACTATTATTATTATATAATTAGGTATTTATGGGTATCTAATTTCTAGAAGAATATTATCATAAATTAATATAATAATTACATCACGATTTCATGAATGTTATGCATGACTGGACTGATTGATGTTTTACAGTGATTGAGTTGACGTAATAAGGTGCCAAACACTAAAAATATGACATTACTTATGATGATGAGAGAATGGCCAGCATCCTTACAAAATAATTAAAATTTTAAACAAGATTTCCAATTGATCGGCGATAAAAAAAAATATCTTAATGGCATTACATAGAGCAAGTTTTCAAATGATATAATTAAATGTTTCATTATAGCCGGAAACCGACTGTCATTTTTAAAGCCGTTTCCTCACATGCAACAAATCGATTAATAAAATTCAACATTTTAATACTTAACTAAATACGGGTGTCAATGTTGGCGTGATTCTCTAAACTTAAAACTAAACACCACTTCTAAAATGAAATGCAAATATAGATACCAACCAGATTTTAGTACCTAACAAGTCTATTGAGGATGATAAGTGACGAAACCTTGTCAAGCCCGAGCCAAGCTTCAGCTGCAGCACGGTGACCGAGCCAAGCTTGAGCTGTAGCACGGTGACCGAGCCGCTCCTGTACCTGTAATTTACAAATTGTCAGTCGGTTACCACCCGGAATAGCGTGAATGTGTCCATATACTATTTAATATTAGCTAATTCTGCTATGGCCGACACGGCCTAATGCTTAGAGCATAAGGTCTAAAGTGAATCATCATTGAAAATTTCTCGCATCGTTAATTCGCAATCCAGCGCATAGATGCGCTGGATTGCCTAATACCTTTTTTTTTGTGTCCGGAAAATGCCTAACGCATCCTTCAACCACTGGGAGAGCGAGAAGAAGGTATGTGGGACTCCTCCATGTCCTCTTCAGCCAGCCCTGTATCTCGCTGATGTGAACAGGGCCCTGCCTACGCCCTAAACAGGGCCACTAAAAACCAGACAATACTCCTGCACCGTCACCCGACACGCACTATGAGGACCGCGGTCCCCCTAATGCGTGCCGAGAGGGCGGGTGTGGTCGCGGAACCCATCTCCGAATGGCCGCACATCCGCCAGCATCTATCTAATACCTAGGTTATTCATTTTGGTTTCGGTAAAAGGTTGTAATTATCCCCTCGGCAGCTTTTTGAAGATTTTGTTTTAATTTATTGTATAATCCGAGATGCGTAACCTATTTTTATCTTTTTTTTTTAGTATATTGATGCGTAAGGAAGATTTTTTTGTCCCAAGTTAAGTACAAAATTAAAGAATCTTTTTTTTTTTGGCTATGAATATAAAGCCAGGGTCCCTAAAAATCGGGAGATTTTCTAGTACTTGAAACATTTAGCATTCAGAAGCGCCTCGAGCGCCCTCCATAAACTGTCACATTCACAAAGATCCTTGTCGCAACTAGGGACACGAAAAAAGTATCGATACTTTGTGGTATCGAGTACTTTTCCTTTCGATACCGATACTTTTGTACTCGATACTTTGTATTTGATACTTTTACTAAATGAGTACTTTTTGGCAAGTATCGATACCTTTAAAAATTTGGATAAGCGCCTCATATTGATGGCAACGCCATCTTGTTAAATCATAGCAAACCTTCTAAAACGTTCCATAGGGTATTTGACAAGTTTTAGGCAACGATCTCACGTTATTGACTAATATTTATGGAGTCCGTAAAAAGTGAATATTCATCATTCTGTTGCGTATTTCAGTAAAAATAACCAAATTAAAAACTCCATTTTCAAGTTGCCACGAAAACGTTTCTCTGGACAATATGGCGTCTTACTAGTGTGTGACGTCACACAACTGTTATTAAAACGTCAAACGATACAATGTAATGTCACTTTGACCGGAAGTTTACTTGCGTGTGACGTCATTTTAGGCTACGCCAATCCCAAGCGTTTTGGGTTACGTGACAATAGAAAAGAAAACTAATATCTTTTTCGTTATTTTGGTACTTTATTTTTAATACTGTCAAATGCCCTATTGCGTTGTTATAAAGTCAGTAACTGACATATTCAAATTCTTTCCAATCTGTGACTGTGTTAATTTTGCGCTTTGTTTTGTTTCATAGTTATTTATTTAGCGACCATATTGTTAGGAACTGTGATTCGCCGTTTATTGTGCTTTTCGCTTGACTGTATTTGATTTATTCATGTGTAACACTATTATTCTGTCTGTGCAGTGTATACCTATTTGAAACCACCTAAAAAAGAAGGACGTAACCTCTTCTATAATTATAATCTTGAGTGAAGCATGCCAATGGCAGCCGTTAACTACGTGTCAGATTCAAGTTAACATAAGTGGGTATAATGTTTTTTAATGATTAAAATTCAAGAAAAGTAAGTTTAATTTGAAACAAATCTAAAAAGTTTCATACTTTTAAATTGTTTAAGATATCGATCTTTTTAATTAACATTTTAATTATGAATTAATGAATACTTTTTTAGTGTCAGAAATCACAGCTGTTTTCTTTTTAGCAATTTGTGAATTTACATGTCCTTTTTTGTTTTTGATTATACGTACTATAATAAAATTCGATTGTTTTTCTTTCAATTTTAACACCGGGGGGGGGGGGGGGGGGGGGTTGCTCATCAGGCCACAGAGGCTCCGATAAGGCCCTATGAAATGTACTCGATACTTTAAAGTATCGATACTTTTGTTTCGATACTTTTACGAGTACGATACTTTTTTACTGATACTACTCATGAGTACAGTATCGATACTTTCTATTCGATATCGTGTCCCTAGTCGCAACTAAAGCCACGTCTACAACTCCATACTATTGAGTTTAGGGTCCTGCCCTACTCTATGGTTTACCCATGGTCTACACTGTTACGATTATAGTAAACAATCGATATTACCTTGGATCAATAAACTTTCAATTGAATATTATTTTTCTAAACTATTCTGTATGTCATTAATTGGGACAACGTTATAGGGTCGACTATATAATGATTGAATTCTTCATTACTTTGTTTGTAGTAAATTAATTAGCCCAGTCCAAATTGGTACCATTCCGCACTCAGCCAATTCCGAACTGGGCCCATGTCTATAGAGAAAGTAACCGCCCAGTTTTAAGTAGCCATAGCAAATGTGAACGTATTGATAGACGTTAATAAAGTCATGAAAAAAAAAGAGGTCGCCACCGACGCTTATAATGCGTTTCAAATAAGAATAGGAAACCTCTATCTGTCAAATGTCGCTTGTAAAGTACAGCTTGAAAAAAAAAACTTGGAACCCTTTTTTAGCACTCCGCTAATTCTAGAATAAAAATGGATGCGTGTAACTTATGTACGCGTGTGAGAAGTTATACTTCTTTAGCATCATTAAAAATATTTTTTAAATGCATGCAAATAATTAATAATTACAATAAAATAATAAAAGGACTGGAAAAGGATAGTTAACACAGTCAATTAAGTTCAGTTTTAATTTGAAAAATTAAATAAATATTCAAAATATTCAATTAAAATCACTACTGAATTTAAGTTATTAGTCCATATGTAATTAGCACTTGTAAGTAACTAAAACACGTTGTGTCTATATAGAAACATGTGGATAAATATTATAAATATGAAAACAGTGATCAGAGGCGACGAGCGTGCCAACATTGTTTTTGACAACGCGATCATCTTATGGAGCTCCGTGGATCGTTCAAAGTACCTTTCGAACAGATGTCTAATAATGGTGGATTATTAACCACTAAGTGGTTAATAATCCACCATTATTAGACACTAACATTCATAACGCGCCCGCGGCCAACTTCATGGTGTTACTATGTTACAGTGATGCGCGCGCATCTCGAAATTTCACTCACATGATTTTTTCATAACGCGCCCGCGGCCAACTTCATGCTGTTACTTTTGGGTTACAGTGATGCGCGCGCATCTAAAAATTTCACTCTCATCATTTTTTCATAACGCGCCTAAAGAAGTATAACTTCAAAACCAAACATTTGTAAACAAACAATAACAAATATTGATAATTAGTATCGGTAGACATTTATTTTTCACTTATTGAGCTTTGGCCATGAATGGTTGATAACTTAAATCGTTAACCTCAATGTTACTTTATGTTGCGTTCACAAACTCGATTTCAACTTTAGTTTACATAAAGGATGCATGTTCGTTTGTGACCTAGTAATAGTGCATAATTATTCATGACTACTCCGGCGGTAATGCAGAGATGAGCGGAATAGAAGAGCTAGATTCTGATTAATGTTTTTCTCACAGTCTTAATTTAATAATTTTATTTAAAATCGGTGGTTTCGTTCTCAATCTTAGTAAATAAGTTTTATTTAATATAAACTTTTTTTTTTGCTCACTCTACCTATTTGGATTGAATTGACAGCTATGACATCACAATATGGCGCCCAGACGGTCCTATTCTTAGTTGAATTGCATTATACCATTATACATTGTATTCCCGTTATACATCGACTAAAACGCTTTGGTATTATAATAACTTGCATACAATTCATTGTTGTTCGAGTTAATTTTTTATCTTATCATCAATCTAAGCTTTTATTCTGAACCTGCCTGATACTTTGCTGGAAATAAAAAAATATACAAAATTGTTTACAGTTAAAAATTCCTTTAGAATCATAAATCGAGCAAATTAATGCTTAAAAATATAATAAAGTATGAAAATTTGTCATGCTTGACTTTCGAGGGCGAGGCTAGTAGGTACTCAAGTCACTTCTGACCGGCCTTATTGTCGGATACTTACTAAAGGTGAGAAATAAAAAGA